TTAGACATCATTAATTTCTAAAATTGTTGCAGTGATTATTTTAGGAAACACACATGTAGGTCATATTTATTTTTTAGATTTTGATCCCCAAACTTAATATTGAATTTGTAGTCAAATGCCTCAAATCTCTTTACCCTTTAATTACTTTCTTTGTATTTGAAGTCCATTCTTTGCCATGTGGGCTTATATTCACTCCAAATATGCCATTTTTTCTCAAGACAAACATATATTGAAATTAAAGTCCCTTCTCAATTTAAAATAAAATCATCCGTCTCCTATTGTCCCTTGAAACGACATAATGGTAAGGACCTGAGATCTTGAGTTACCATTTATTTTGAGGCCTGCGATCGAATACTTTACCAACGCGATCATGAAAAGAAGCTTTTTGAATACATTTTAAACATTTAAGAAGCTTCTAGTTCCATATGGGTGACAATAATTGAAGAGTTCAAATTATTTTGGTATTATATTTGCTTATTGGAAGGTATTCCATTGTTTAATACCCACTTCTCCCATGCTTGCATATATTCTTTTCTATGGGAAACCTTACTTTTTTTTTTCCTTCATATTTGTCTTTCTGGCTAGCTGAATGGCCAAGTTAATCTTGCAACCCATTATCAGGGGCGTTCACGGGTTGGATGAGGTTAGGAGGGGTTTTGGAACCAACCTGAATTTTCGAGTTGGCCATATATAAGAGTCGTTGGGTTTGAATTGGATGGTCAACCAAATCCAATATTTTCGGGTTGGGTCGGGTTGGATTGTCGGTTTGTGTTTCTTTTTATTTTTAATTATCACGACGGTGATGGAGAGTTAGGATTAAAACTTAATGGACGGTTGAGATTAAGATAAAAAAATGGAAGAAGATAATATGAAAATCTTAAATGAATTAAGGGTGATGATTAACACTAAATGGATGGTAACATTGAAGATAAATATATTATTATATATATAATTAAGAAAAATACACATATGCATAAATTCGGGTCGGGTTGGATTGACCCGATTTTTTAAAAGTTGAACCTGATACCCAACCTAA